GGGGGGGGGGGGGGGGGGGGCAGGGGAATTACTGAAGATCTCTCCAGCATTTGTTCAGATGTCATGTTTCTGAAACTTTATAACAAAGAATATCATCCTAAGATAGCAATAACTAAAAATAGTTTTGACCTAATTAAGCTACTGGCCTCCTACTAAATACTCCTACTATTTTCTTACTAAAATAAAAACTGTATTGCCTGCTGTTAACATCAATTTTTGTTTTATACCTAAATTATTTGTAAGTACTATTATGACAGAGAAGGTTTAAAGTTTTTTTTTTTAATAACTATTGAGGAGTATCTGGAAAATATTTTCAGAAAACAAAATCTTTGTTTAGAAAATTTCTATGGGATTCTTCAATTCCGAAAATATCTTTACAGAAAATGCAATTATCAATTAATGAGGGAGGATTTGGTCTTCCAAATCTGGAGCTACATCATCATGCTTATCTGTTGTCAAGTATTAAATGCTGGGAGGCAACATTTAATTATTGTTTAATTAACACCAATTCTGATTTGGGCAACTTTGGAATATACATATATAACACCTTTGGTCGGATGGAAAATATTAGGATTGAAATACACTAAAACTCTAATATCTCTGGAAACAACTCCGTCAGTTAGAAAGCTATGGAACATAAGGTCTAATAAAAAAAGATTTGACCCTTTTTCCCATGCCAAATTGACTTTATGGGGAAACCCAACTTTAAAAATTGGAAAAAAGATGGTGATATGGAAAAATTGGATGGAAGCAGGGATATTGACTTTGTACCAACTGATAGATGATGAAGATGAATTTTTAATGTACTGTGTCTTAAGAGATAAATATCATCTTTCAGATGTAACCCAGTGGCAATATTTCTGATTACACCATTCGTTAACAACATTGTTTGGTCCAGCAGCATTTTCAGCTTCTGAGATGTTAGAACAACCTGTTAAATCCTTTAAAACTAAAAAAACTACTATTAGTTTGTATAGATATTTGTTATCAATAAATCAGTTTGATATGCAGATGTTAAGGGATGAGTGGAATAAAGAATTAGAGGTTCCTATGTTGCTTAGACAATGGGAGAGCGTCTTAACTTCTATACCAAGAGTGTCAATGAACTTTAAATTACGATTTATACAACAAAAAATAATATTTAGAATGTATTGGACTCCACTACGTCTGTATAGAAAAGGACTGTCAAAAACAGCATTTTGTTGGAGAGGTCGTAAGGACAATGCTTCTTTAAAACATATGTTTTTACAAAGTCCTATACTTATCAAGTTCTAGGAGAAAGTACTGGACTGCATAAATATGATTGTGTGACAAAAGCTAAAATTTTCAGAGGATAATATTCTTCTGAACTATATACCTAGTACATGGAACTTGACAACAGGACAATGTAAATGGATTCTCTGTGCCCTCACTTTGGCCAAAAGACTGATACTGCAAAGAGTCACCCTTTGGGGGAGATGGGCAGCATATAAATGTAATAATAAATAAAATAAATTGAAAAGATAAATGTATGGTCCCATTTACTCAATGGATTGGAGACCTGATTAAACTTGCTACTTATGAGCAGATTGCCTATAGAAGTAGACTTTGTATGGACAGGCATAATGAAATATGGGACTCATTTATATAAAATACATTGGGTTTTATGTATTTTTTTTTCCTTTTTTGTTTTGAAGAAAATTAGTTCAATTGCCCTAACTTCAATTAGGACAGATATTAAAAATCACTTACTTGGGAATCTGAAATCCACAATATGAATTTAGATATTGACCAGCAGATTTTATTCATTATTTTGACATGGTGGAACCAGCTTGGTTTCACATGCTGACTCAATAAATGAATAAAAGTCTGTATCTCATTACAACCACACTATCCTAATATTCTGAGTGCATCTGTAGTCTTTAGATTACGGGCACTAATACATTTTTAGGTTGCTCCAAATAAGTGACATGCTGTTTTAGGGAATTAGAAAGGCAAAGAGAAAAGCATCCACCCGACATTTTGTGGGAGGTGGACTGAAAGTCATGTATGCTGCACAGCATCCATTCTTCTACATACGCACATTATCTGCCAAACTCTTAAACACTGAAATGATAGCACCAGTTTAGTATGCTGACAGTTTGCTTCTGTCAGCATACTAAACTCAACTATAATTTTGATGCAGAAATAATGAAACAAGCATCCGATGCCATGTACATGTCTGGCTGACTATCTCCTTATTACAAAATATGCTTTTAAAGTAAAAAAAGAATGAAAAGATGCTGTAATGAGTAGAGTAAATCTCAGTAGTCTTGACATACATGGTCCATTTGATATTGCTCCTTACTTGCAATTCTCTGAGTTGACCACTGGTGGGGAGTGGGCTTCAGAATTGGGGAATTCTGAAGTTCAGCACTGCTTCCAGTTCTAACTATATGGAAATTATCTAAAAATTACTTTTCACTTTCTATGATTTGGAACAAAAAGACACAGAACAAAATACAGACTTCTTACTATGAATCAGGAAGACTTAACAAGCCTATATTTACTTCATTTTCATCCAATTATCAAAAACAAGTGGAGCTTCTTCAGATCTCAATCATGTTAATTCCTGTCAGTAGGAATGGTTTCCATCTGTCTTTGAACACAGATTACTGCCTTGGTAAAACTTGTCTAAACAAAGCACGATTAACACATCTTGCACAGATGGATGAAGAACATAAGTCTGAAGAAACAAATTCATATCTCAGAGCCTAGGATGAAAATTGCCTACCTTGGCTCTTTGTGGCAAGTTCATCATGGTGTCTGCCTTGAAGTCATTTTTGTTCTTCCTGCATAGAACAGCTGTGATGATAAGGATGATGACTGTAACAACTGCTATGGGAGCCAACACTGCTGCAATGATCCATAAATTGTTGGGTGGATTTTTAACTACAGCTGCATACATCAAGAAAAAGGAAAAAAATAAACTTATAAAGCTTCTTTGCAATGAATCAGACCAATGATCCACCTGACTGGATAAAATTTTCTCTAGCCTTCTCCAACCTAGTATCCCTCCAGGTGAACTGGGACAGAAATTCTTGGTGCTAAGGTCCCAACACATCAGGAAGAATATCAATTTAGAAAAGGCTGGTCTAGTTAGTGACAGTTTAGTCAGAATTTTTTTCTAGTTCTATGTTTACTGAAAATATTCTGACAGGAACTGGACCTCTAAGCATACAAATTATGCTCTATCATCAAGAAATAGATTGCCTCTCACACACAATTATATTCATCAACATAAATTTTATTTAGTCATTCAAACAGAAAGCACAAAAATAATAAATTATAAATATAGAATACATTACAGGAATATGCACATATGAATCCTCCATTGTTAGAGGCCAACAATAAAATTTATAATGTAACTTAAAATGTGTCTGCCACTTTAAATTTATCTCAATTCTATAGCACATCTTACACTGCTAAAAAATTAAACAAATTGCTAATAGATGAATATACTTCCAAGAAACTGACTAAATGTTGCAGAGTTGGGCACCACACAAAATTTGTCCTATCTATTAAAAAGTTCAGTCAGTCCTAGTCACTCAGGAGATACTCCAATTTAACATATTCTTTAGAAACAGAGATAATATAAGTAAATAATACTTTATTATAAAAAGAGCAACGTGACAATACATGTTGTACCAAGTCAAACTGTAATGCTCCACAAGGCAAAGGTTCTGCTCATACAGAATTTTCAAGTATTTACATGATAAAATAATTGATGGCATAAAATTAACTCTGCCCAGAGTAAAGGTTGTTGCTGCTTCAGTATGAAGATATCTGGGAAATAAGCAACCAATCTGAAAGTGTTCTTAACACCTAAAAAGGGGGAATATTGTACAGTGATACTCAAGACAAATCTTTGGTCTTCTTTTAGACCTAAAGTGGTCATAAATGCTAGAAAAAATTAGTTTTAGTACCAAGTTTCTCTTCCACTATTTTTAAAAATTTCTTTTGGAACAAATGGGATTAGCTTGATGGGGGGGAAAATCCAATTTTAGCTAATTATTAAAACAGTACAGTTCTACATCCTCCACCGTCACTAACATGACTTCTAAAGGCAAAGCAGCATTGCACATGCGTATGGACATGGCCAAAATTGATTGCAAAATTCATCTTTTAAGATGTAAATTGAAACACATGTAGCAGCTGTACTAGTGCCCTGGCTTCAAAAACAAAAATATAAACTGTCCAGCAGCATTCCTTTATACATTTTCAGTTGGATAGCTAATGTGTGCTTTCCATGGCTTCATAGTATGGAAAACAACTTGAAGGTACCTGTTCAAGCTGAGTTACCAACTATATGTTTTGCTTTTTTTTTTACTAAGACTACAGCTGAAATCCAGATAGAATGAGGGCAGGCAACTGTGATGGCTATATATAAAAAAGGAAAAAATATGGATCCTAAACATTACAGACTGATTAACTTGCTAAACGTCAGCAGAAAATTCTGTTTCAGTCATCTGTCTGGAAATTTACAGATTGCTTAGAACAGCAGAACTTTATGGTTGTTAAGGAAACAGTTTAGCAAAATTTGGGAGTCTAAAGATCATTGAGATTAAGGCATTTTATGGAGAAATACAGATAGAACTAAGGGATCTCTATACTCAGTGGTCTGTAAAACAGGGGTGCACATTGGCTCCTTTTATTCAACTTATGTATTCCAAAATCAACAGTTGTAAGCTAAAAAAATTATTGCTATACTATTACAGGATCTCACAATGTTTCTATCCCCCAATTGGTTTGAAATGGGTTTTACCTGCATTTAACATCTATAGGGAAGTACAACATATTAGTATTCTAATCATTTTTATTATCTTACTATTTTCAACTATTATTAATACCAACCCAAAACCTTTGAAAATGTAATAGCCCTAATTACATAAAAAAACATAAATACATAAAAATACCACACAAATGCAGTTGTAATCAAGTATTACACTTGATCCGTACACAGGTAGGCAAGAAGAATCCAGGTGAGATATTATCAGTCTGCATGAATAACACTGAGCTCAGTAGTCTACTTTATACAGTATAAGGCAGTTCCTATTTCCACTGGATCCAATGTAAGAATAGTTTACAATTGTTGGGCAATTGTTTAATTCTCATTTGTGATAGAGGTTACTATTTTTCCCCGGTACAAACTTGGCACAATACTAATTGAATGTGCTATTTTCTTTTAGAACATTCAAGCAATAATATTTATGAATGTTTAGCAGTATAGCTAATGTAATGCAAGGACAAAGTGGGTTTATGTATGTGAAGATTCCAGAGCCGCTGAACATCTTGCAGATAAATTCAGGCATATTCACACAGAGTTAGATACTGGCTAGTTGAAGTTCAAGGAAGTGAAAGGACTAACATCTGGCAGTATCACTGGGGATTCACTGGATCCAAAGAAATGAACAGTGTTATTTGTGAGATGAATTCTGCCCCTGTGGGCTAGATCCTTGCCCTTCTAGACTTTATGAGCTTCCAAGGAAAAGACAAGGGACTGGGTTTGAGCTGTAATGAATGTTTCTTTGAGTGAAGGGGAAAAGCTATCAGCCTCTCTTCAAGAAGTCTTCCTCAACCCAGTAGTGCTAGACAATGATGGCACTGTCTCCAACCTCCCCTTCCTGGGGAAGTTTATTGTAAATGTGGTGAGGCAGCAGTTACAGGGGTCCCTGGATGATTATTATGTCCCTTCAAATCAGGTCTGGCACAGGATAGAAATTACATCAGTTGTTCTTGTGGATGACCTGTCAGAGGACTTGGATAGGGGTAATATGACCTCTTGGTCTTGCTGGATCTCTCAGCAGCCTTGGATGCTATCACTCATGGAATACTTCTGGCTACCTACAATGTGGAGTAGAGGCACAGTTTTGCAATGGCTCGACTTAACTTGGTAAATGGGGGAGAAATGTTCAAGCCTTCGGCCACTCCAATATGGGTGCCTCAGGGCTTGACCCTCTCCCCTATACTGTTCAACCTCTACAGAAGTCCCTGGAAGAGATCACCCACTGGCATTATGTGAGGTAGCATCAATATGTACATCTCTAATCCAGTCTGAGTAGAAGTCTTGACTCATTGCCTAGACAATGTTAGTGGGTCAATGAGAGAAACAGGCTCAGTCCTGGTAAGACAGAATGGCTTTTGCTTCAAAAGCTATCCAATTCCAAAATATTTCCATATTTGGCTTTTGGTGAGGTTTCATTCCCACAAAGGAGGAGGTATGCAATCTGAGGATGCTTCTGGTCTCACAGTTCCTGCTACAAGAACAGAACAAAATGGGAGAGCCTATGTTCCATTTGTAGCCCTTCTCAAAATGGGATATGCTAACAATGGTCACTTGTTTTCTCACAAGTAACTGATTTTTCATGGAGCTGCCTCTAAAGATTATATGAGAAGATGCAACTAGTACAAAATGAAGTGGCCTGCTTGATAATGGGTGACAGCCATTACAGTCATGTAACTCCTCTAATGCAGGAGCTCTACTGTTTGCCAATTTGCTTCCGGGTGCAATTTAAAATGCTAGTTATCCCCATATGGCTTGGGAACTAAGTCTATTCCAAACAGAATCTGTCTGCCCAATACTATTCAGCAGAGAAAGCATACTGTAACTCCCCACCCAATGGAAGGTAAGATAGGTAGGGGCTGGGAAGTGATGGTTTTCTGTTATGGCCCCTGTTCTTTGGAACAGCTTGATCTGAGATGAGGATGATCCCTTCCCTGATGATCTTTAAGAAATCTTGAAAACATTGTTTTTGGGACTTTGGGACTGAACAGTGGAGTTTGGAGCTCTGTGAGGGTGTTTTCTTGGTAACAAAGAGGAAGGTGCTGTTGTTTCAAATGGCATATTATTCAGTATTGTTATATTTATTCATGTGATAATTCTATTTTTGTTACATGTGATATTGTCAAATTATAAACTACTTTTCCAGCCTTTTTTTTCAAATTTACTGGTGGACTTCTGAAGACCACAGCTTCTGCTTCTTTTAGCCTGCCCTAGCTAAATGCAGTGATAATCCTTTGCAACAGGGATCCATTTGGGCTGTTAGGGAGCTGACTGAAATTGACAAGAATTTGCTAGTTTCCATTTCTACCTCAAGCAAGGGCAAAAAGAAGTTCAATCGTCCATTGGAAAATTGATTAGAAACGTAACAAAGGAGCTGTAAATTGAGCAGCTCAAAGAAAAAAGAGTAACTGTTTCTGCTCAGTGTCAGATCAAGGAACCCTCACATGTCAAGCAAATGCAATGACCATTATAGTACTACAGCAGAAGCTGCAGCAGCAATTAGGAAGCCAAAGCTAGGAAAATGTAAAAAAGGAACTTTTTTTTAAAGCTGGTTTCTTTGCATCCATGTTTGTGCATTTTAATGTTTTAGCTTTGTAAATACCATTTTTTGCAAAATGTATATATAAATGATAAACAAAGGACTATTTTGAGGGCGTGTAACCACCAGCATGAATAAGAGGGTTTATTTACTCCATATATGCATCAAGATCAATTAAAAACCAAACGGGTTATGTCAGTTCGGACCCTTCAGGAAAGTTAAGAGTTCAGCATATTAAACCATTCTGAGAGGGACATTCAGTTTGGCAGCCAAAGATTAAATGGCTGTAGAGGACAGCAGCAAGAAACTGAACAGAAGAGGGAGTTCTCACCACTGTGCACACTATCCCAGTGTTTTTCAACCTTGGCAATTTTAAGATATGTGGACTTCAAG